AAGAAAGTTGTTTGTTTGTCTATTAGGAATATAAAAGTTCATACTTTCAAAAGAATGCTCTTTGGAATAAAAAAGATCTTGCAATCTTACCTTATCCATTCCCTTGTCCCATAAAAAAGTTATTGCAATCTTCTCTACCTCCAAAAGAATGGCCTTTAAGGGGTTTACATACCAATTTCTAAGTAGCATAGCGTAAGCCTCTCTTATCCATTCCCTTGTCCCATAAAAAAGACATTGCAATCTTCTCTACCACCAAAAGAATGACCTTTGGAATAAGGGAGTGTGTTATAACATACATCAAGGAATGGATCAAAGAATCATTAATCAAAGTAAGTCTACTAGCCAAGAACAATTGCTTATTTCCCCAAGCCGTAAAAGCAAATTTCATCTTCTGGATTACAAGATTGTAGTCTGATTTGCCCATCCTCTTTAAAGACAACTTAATCCCAAAATAATCAAATTCATCAACCTTTCTGAGGCCTATCATTTTAGCAAATATCTTCTTCTTCCATTCAGGAGTACCCTTGCTAAAAATCAATGCAGATTTTTTTCTGATTAATGTTCTATTCCTACCACGAATAATATTATTGCAATGTATGAACCACATGCTAAATCTCAACTTTAGATAATCCTGCGAAAATAATAATATCATCAGCATAAAATATATGGGAGACATTAGGTCCCCCAAATAGAAGTTGGAACACGCATGATCTAGTCTCTTTGCTAGAAAGCCGGGGACAATAGCTCAGAGCAAAGTATGAATAGGTATGGTGATAGTGGACACCCCTGCCTTAATCCACACTCAACAACAATCCATTTAGAAAGCTAGCCATTTATGAGCAAAGAAAATCTAGGACTTCTAATACAATACATCACCTACCCCTAAACCGAGTAGGGAAGTCCATTCTCCAAAGAACCAGCTCCAAAGTTTCCAAGCTCATCTTATCATATGTTTGTTCCATGTCAATCTTCAAAGCCATTATTACCCTCTTAGACATTGAGATCTTGAAGTTGTTAATCACTTCTTTGTCAAGAAGGCAATGAATCGAAATTGATCTTCTAGGAACAAATGCAGCTTGCTCAGCTATTATCCTAGGAAGAAACATTTTGAGTCTATTAACAATTATTTTAGCAACAATCTTGTAAATTGTTTAACATAAACTGATTGGTCTTAATTATGATGGATGATCAGGCTGTGCCACTTTAGGTATTAAAACAACCACCATTTCATTCCACTCATCAATTACACAACCAGTCAGAAAGATTTTCAAATAGACATATGTTACTTGCTTTCCTACAATACTCCAAAAGCTTTTAAGAAATGAAGTTGTGATTCCATCCTTTCTTGGTGCTCTAAATCAACCAAAGGCTTTAACAACCTCCCAAATTTCTTCCTTAGAAACATCTTTATCCATTAAATCCCCAAACTGACTAACAATCTCCTTGTGAGCATTCAATAATGGCCAATAATGAATACATATATCCTTTCTTCTCCATTTAATCTTATAAAAATCAGTGATAATTTTTTAGACCTTCAATTCCCTAATCTAATTCATCCTCTTACGAGCAGATGCCACCGAATGAAAATGATGAGTGTTCCCGTCTCCTTCTTCTATCCATCTGACCTTTGTTCTTTTCTTCCACCAGGTCAATAATTTATCCAAAGTACTATTTAACAATTACACTTTATGCTTCAATTATTTAGCTTGGCTATCAGACTACCCATCTCGAACACATTCTAATTGTTGCAACTTGGAACTATCCCTCTCAAGATCATTTTTTACCTGCCCAAGCTCTCTATACTTATTTTTGTTCCAAAATAAAAGAGCATTTAAGTCCTCTTGCATTTTTCTACAGTTTACACGCTTTTGTACCCAAGTCTTTAGCACCCAACTTGTCAAGAACCAACTTCCACAAAGCTGGGTATGAAAGACAAATTTCTTTTAAATTTTATCCAAGCTAAGAATCTCCTAGTGCCACAAACAAGGTTGCAAAGACTTGGGCAATTGTCTAATGCTACTTTGTTAAGATGCATGACCTGCATATCTTAAAACAAATATAGAAACTTCGAGCTGACCAAAAATCTATCAAGTTTGCATCAATTTTTTCTTAAGCCCTCTTTATTGTTAGTTCAAGTAATTGCAGTCCCAACAAAACTAGGATCCACCAAATCATTTATAGAGGCATCCATTTCACTAACTGCCAAAGAGTATTTAAAAGGCTTACCTTCTTTTTCTATTCTTGGGAAGGAATACAATTATAATCACCACAAATCATAAGAGACATCTCAACATTACGGTTCATGGAAATATCCTCCCATAAAGATCTTCTAGTCTTCCTATCATTGCTTGCATAAACAATAGCAATCTCCCATATAATTCCACTAGAATTATGGATCTTACCCATTATGTATTGATAATTTTGTAATTTTTTTCTAAAATGATACAAATTTTTCTTTCCACATTAAAAGAATCCCACCAGCCTTCCCAGTAGATGGTTGGTAGTCAAAATTCCAATCTTTACCAATCAACTTATAAATTTCACTCCTACAAAAAATTTCAACTTTAGTTTCCAATAAACTAATGAAATTCACATTATACTCTCCAACAATATGCTTTAAGTAGTTACTCGCAGACTTCTTGCGAGCCCCCCTATCAATTTCACCAAAGGGGATGCGCCCTCGTGGTTCGATTCATCAACCTCACCATTACAAGAGCTGTTAACAAAATCATTGCCAACCACCACCTTTTCTTTACAAAATCTGAACCAAGGCAAAAATTCACAAGATCTAAGACTAACCAATTGTTTTGCTATTAACACAATAGTTATTCTTCCATTCTTCCACTTTAATTTTGAAACTCCAGCTCTACTAACCTTGTTTTTCAGGAATAGCCAAAGCTTTGTGAATAAGTGACTAAGAAGGTGTTTTGTTTGCATTCACCATTATTTTATTTTTTATATCAATAATTTTTGTTTTGCACAAAATAACCTGTTCCTTCTTGTCCTCAAATACTTGTGCATCATTTTCATTCTGGATTCAACAGGTTTAACCAACTCTTTCAAAGTTTCACCATTATCACTCACCACCTCATTAGAGCCATCCTTTGAAACTTCCCTTCAAACAGCCTTTAAATTCTTGTTCTGCACATTCCCAGCTCTATTATTCCTTCCTTTATGCTTGGTCACCATAGTGCAGTTCCCATAATCCTCATCATCCTTCTCGTTGTTATTAGCTTGATTCATACTTCTCACTTGATCAAAAGAAGGAACATTGTTACTCTGTCAAAAAGCATTACTCTTATCAGCATTATGAGTTATTTTTATCATATTTTACTTTCCAGTTGAACCAACTCCTGCCACCTTCATGCATGGCTCCATGCATACTTCCATTTTATGACTGATCTTCCCACATTTAGAACAGAGAGTAGGAATCCCCTCATATTCAATATGTTGAAAAAACCTCCCTTCAATTCCTTCAGCCCATATCCATTTCGGTAGTTGTTTATCGAGGTCAATTTGGACACAAACTCTGGCATAAGAGAACCTTACCCATGAGCTTGCATGATAGTCATTTCAGAGAATTATTAATAAGACCCGACACCCATTTGTCCACACCAATAATTTGTCCGGCAACAAACCAAGGGCCCCCAATAAGAATACTTTTTCCTGACTCAACTGTTTCAAACCAATTTTATGTTGTCTTCTTTAAGACTAACGAGACATATTTCAGTTTCACCCACACCCTACTAGATTCAATGTTATTTCTCAAACTCCTCTTCTCTTTCAATCTAGAACCAAAATAAATCATTCCATTCCCCTTCCTTACATTGCCAAAATAATTGTTCAAAGATGAAAATTCAGAAGAATTACTAACCTTAATTTCCTTTATCCTCTCCACCTTAATTCTATGATCTTGTAATTTATCAATCTCTACAGCTTTCTACATAGAATCCGACCTCTTGGAACACAATATCTCCATTTGATCTTCTCCTTCGTGGCCCGTTCTTTCAAAATAATTTAAAACATCCTTTCCAACCAAAATTTCCTGATGAAAATTTCTGTAAGATCCGCCGCAACCTCTAAGAAATTCAAATTTTATTTATGATCTTAAGAATCCAAGATCACTTCCATCCCCCTTGGTCCTTAATCTGTCACCAATTCCGGTTTACCATGATCTACCCCATTCTTCTCGTTTCTTTCCATTTCAACATCATCCAAATTCCTATCTCCAAGAGACAAGGAACCTGAATAAGTCTCCCCTATGGATGGAGAATTTAATGAAGAGAGCTTCAAACCTTCAGTATTTTCATTCCTCCACTTCCTCGAGCCACAAAACAAGAATTCCTTCTCACCCGATCTAACAACATCACGGACACCCATCTCTCAACCTTCACTTTCCTCAGAACTGCTCCCATGTCTAGCATCCTCCCTATGCCTCTCCTCCTGCGGTGGTGAGAGGGTGACTGATGGTTACCCCCACCATATCTCAAAGCTTCTCTTACAAGAATGAAATCTAGAGAGAAAAAAATCAGACAAATGAAAGCCTTACTAGTACACTATACTATACTATTATACTATACTATAATACTACTATACTATACTTTATTATATACTATACTATATTATACTACACTACTATGCTAAACTATATTATACGATATTACTACTATACTATAATATATTATACTATAATATGGTACTACTACTAATATTGTTGTATATACTATATGGTGTATTATACTATACTACTATAATATATGTTCTCCAGGTCTTTTCAAGAGTTCTCCAGGTCTTTTCAATAACTGCAAGGCCAAATAATTATGTTATGAAAAATTAAAAAAATATTTGCCCAAATCATGTTATAAAAGTGCCTGATAGAAAAGCAAAAGAACAATAAAATTACAAAAAGAAGATGCAATATCCGCCACCTCACTCTTCCTCCACGACCCACTCCAGTAAACTAGCAAAGCCATTTCTAATATTTACAAATGAAACCTTGCTGTAAGTAAACAAATAACAGAACAAATCAACTAAAATGTCTTCGAGGAACTTCGGAATAAGTCTCAAAAATGAAGTCTGATCAAGCGAAGAAAGGAAAATAGAATCCAGGAAAGACATCACTTACCCAACCCTTCCTCAGCTGCATCAAACAATGCATCTTCATCATTATTACTTACTAACTAACCATATACCAAGATATGCATCTAAAATTACAGATAAATCCTAGATAACCCTTTCTCTCTCTCTCTCTCTCTCTCTCTCTCTCTCTCTCTCTCTCTCTCTCCCCCTATATATGTATATACTAATCCGGAACGGTGACTATAGGTTCTGTTATGGCAAGAGAAACATTTATTTGAAATTTGGCTTTTCATTTTTGTCGTTATAGATGGAGTGGCGGAAGTGGCAGCGGTGGCCGTAGGGACAGGTGTCTCCGGCCAGGATCATGCGGCAGAGCTCGGTCTTGTAGCGCGGGTGGCGGATGACTGGGCGCAGTTCCCCGATTCCATGTGTGAAATGGCATTGCTGGCCGTACGGACATTCACCGTTTTTCTGCCAGTTTTTACACAGCTTAGACTTGAACAATCTCAGGTTACACACGTCGAGTTCCACGGCATCCTCTGCTTCTCCCCCATCTTTGTTCTCGGCCCCTCCCAAACACACTTTCTGTTTCTGCCATATGTCAACAAACAACTGCTTTAACCAAATACATGTATATAGAAAACTTTTAGCATGAAAAGGGGCTAGTAAAGGGCTGATGGCGCACGCGCTCCTACCATCATAGGGGTGGTGGGACGGTGTCTGATGTTGCGGTTGGATTCGGAGCTGGTACCTCCCATCTGGTGAATCTTAAGATGCCTGGTGGAACGGATCGAGATACACTTTGGCAGCGTGAGTGATTTTTCATCGACTGCAGGAAATTTTCTACCGTGTCGATTGTCCTGGAACCCGAACACGCTCGGTGGGCTTGCTTCATCCGGCGGTTCTGTCAAAGAGAGGTGCCGAAAGTTGCCATCAAGGCGCGACATTGGAGGGCAGTCACTATTCATCGGATTCCTGGATTTATGCTTCTCGAAGTAGAGGCCCAACCGCTGGCAGAGCACGTCATTGGCACGACGGAGATCGATGTTCTTCTTACTAATGTTCTCCGCCTCGTTCATGGCGTCTTGGAGTTTAGAGAAGCATAACGCATAGCGGTCTTTGATCTGCTGATTTTGAAGCGCGAGTTGGGAGAGGTAGAGGCGGTTCTCAATGGCCACAGGATCTTTATCTTCAAATGAAACTGGGGAAGAAGACTGTGTGATGGGTGTCTTGCCTGAGCATTGGATCGGGGGAGATATAGCAAATTGGCTGACCATTGGGTTGGAAATCTGCGGGGATAACCTGGTGAAATCGCGTTCAGTGGTCAGGTACGGAGGAGAAGGTATCCGGTGATCAGGGGGTACGAATAGCATTGGCGAGACGGAGGATGCCGCGATACGATCGACATTGGATGAAGAAACGAGCTCATGATTCATTTTCGTTGTCGATTGGGTAAGAGAAGAAGTCTGTAAAATCTGGAAAAGATGAAAATTAATCACGAACTAAGGCTTATGAACTAATTTCATTTTAATCTCAATTCCAAGGCTATCGATCACTTGCGTAAAACAGCAAAATCACGAAAGGATGAACCCAATGAAGAATATCACGAAAGGATGAACCCATAAAGTGAATCTTAAAACGGAGAAATTTTCAGAAAATTGACCTTCTAACTTCTTAAATAAAACGAAGATCGATCCAACTCAATCTGAATAAAAGGTAAAGCCCAGATCATTTCTGCTAATCGTGATCTTAGATTTGTTCAAGGAACCAAAAATTAATTAATACTCTGAATGATCTCAACAAAAAAGAAGATGAAATCTGTGGCCGCATACGGTTTAACATTTTAATCGATCGGCAAAAAGAACATAGCAGCAGTTCTGTTCTCTAGAACCTCAAACGACAATTTAAAATAAGAATACGAAGTTCCCTCACCAGAGTTTTTAGCCGTAAAGCAGAACTGATCGATAGAGCATTAAAAGCCTAGAGACTGGACAGAACGTAATAATAAGAACTGGAGACAAGAGAGAAAGAGAAAAACTGGGGGAAGGAGGGAAGTAGAAAGATACGAGAAACCAAATGAACGGAGAGATGGGCTATTTATAGATTAGCTCGGACAAAATTGCACTGTAAGAAGTAGAGAGTAGTATCGAAACCGATGGCGATATTCTGACGAATTGGTAGGCGACGTCCAAAAGGAATCACCGCAACATTTTTGTGCTGGTACAATCATACCTGGCGTAGCTGAATCCTCTGCGAGTTTACCATTTTGCCCCTTCAGGACCATAGAAACATGTAGTGTAGGCTTTCGCGGCATTTTTGCTATATCATTAAGAACATGCGAACCTCTTTCCCATTGTGACTATTATAATTGTCTTTATCATCAAGAACATTACCCTTTGCAAGGCTCAACGCTGAGGTGTTGGAATGTTAGGTGCTCCCGTGCTTAAGTTTCTAAGACTCTAGTGTTGCGGTGTTAATTTTTGGCATAGCGACATTATGATGCACTGTGGCGTTGACCTTGATGCTACTACGGTGACTGAATTTAGAAGCCGGGGCGTTGACGATCATACCAATAAGATGCTTTATTTGATTGTGCTATGACATGTTATTAAGCACTTAGATTTTTTCCGTTTCGTGAATAATTATTATATAAATACAACTAAAATAACATACTTTTACGACATTTTAATATAATAAGCAGTTCATAATTTACAATTAATAAATTTTTCCCAACTTAAACTTTTTCTCATCCTCTAGCAATGATAAAATGACTGGTTGATAAACTTAATAGTCAAAGTAAAAAAAAATAATAATTTAAAATTACTAAAATATAAGAAAATACATCTCAATCTATAAATAATTGGGAAATATTAAAGTTATAAATCTAATTTAAAATGTCTTAAAAATTATCCCAATTAGTTACCCTTTTTATTACTTGTTTTAAATATACCCGCTATAAATGTAAATATGAAATTGATTTCTGAATTTGAAAATAAGTAAGATAATTTAGGAATTTATGGTGCTTGTAGTTAAATTGAAAATTCTTATGTACTAGTTTACTTATCTTGTCCTATATATTTGATTTTAAGTATCAGGATGCATTTGTATAAGTTTCAACCAATACTAATTTTTTAATATACTCACCTTTTCATTTAAATATCTTTTAAGAAGCAAATTTTATTAAAGCAATTATGAACAAATAAATTCCTCCTTCAAAATATTAATAAATGAAGGAGGAATACTACTATCATTCAGGTCCTTCCAAAAGATTTGATCCTGCAATCAAGTCATAATTGCTTTCCTTAAATTCTAGAGAAATTTTTGAAAAATTGTCATGGATCATCTTGGATGATATTTTATAGTCCTGGATGATCCACCTGGACGATGTCCAAAAATAAGTATTTCCTAAATAGATCTGGCGGCAGATTCTTTTTGAATTGAGCTTATCGTCCTGGAAGTACAAAATCGTCTAGGACGATGTGTTTTGCATAATGACGGTTGCTTTAATGAGGATGCCCTAATTAGGGTTTCTACTTTTGAACAGATCGTCTAGGATGATATAAATATCGTCCCGGACGATGTTACCAAAAATAGAAATCTTTAGGGAACAACAGAAAATCTTCTAAGTTACAAATCATCAGAAGCCACACCAAATACAATAGACTCAAGAAAAGAAAAAGTGTACAAACTGACTCAGACCTAGTCTACACAATCTTGAGCTGGTTCCAAATTGCAGTTTGATCGTGTGGACCTGAAATGTTAGTAAATAAGGTCGTCATAAAGAAATAAGAGTGTTTGCTATCATCAAAATCATAAACCATGAAAACAGATCCACAACACTAATCATCATCAACAACATCATCAGGTTGGGTTCACATAAATGATTGATATTTTGGAGCAATAGGGAAATATTGCTAGTTCAGAGTCTTCACAAAGGGGCTCTTCCTAAACATACTTACTAACACTTCAATAAATTTGGCTTGGTAATGGTACTATTTTTATTGTGTATCTATGTGATGGTCTTTGGAGCCCTACTTTCTTCAAAGAAATCAGTCACTATGTCCATCCTCTACCTCAAATCGGCCACCTGATATGTTAAAGATTTAGGAGTCTCCTACTTCCACTATTGATAAAATAGTTTCATGCTTTAGAAAGTTGGGTTAAAGAAGATGCAAGAAAATTTTTAATTTTACCTAATAAGTGTAAATTGCATATTATTTTTAGTGAAAATATTTTATTTTAGTTATTTTTGTGCATAAAAAAAAAAAAAAAATGCCAATAAATTCTAAGTAGTCAACAATACCATGACGTCCGACTAAAAAACATTGCAACACTTCTTTAAATACCACCAAGGAGTTCTAATCTAATATTACAACATCGAGTTCTCTGTTTACAAGCGTTGTGGGGGAAACGCAGACAACATTGCAGCATAATAAGTATCATGGCTTCAAGAATTCATCTTAGCAACATCATATTTTCTTTTTTAAAATAACATGGTGTGGACCTTCGAAAGGAACACAACTCTGCAGGGGATAGAGCGCAGAGGGTATGACCACACCATCCCAAAGGATAAAATGATCGCAGGCCTTCGCGCTCTTTGCAAGTGGGCAATGAGGGGCAGATTATATCATACATATGATTAACCATTGAGGATATCGGCTCTCTGTTGGAGGAATTTTGAAAGCATATTTTGAAAATCAACAATTTTCTGTAGGGACTTTTAAAATTGACTTTAAATTTGAATCTTGAGACCAAACATTCAATTAAGAGTCATACCACTTCATGAAGTGGAATTAAACCTCCAAAATGGGGTTTAAATCTAAGATTACAAATCCTACCTTGAATATCATGATTTGATTCTAAAGAGAACCACATATGACCTCAGAAGATCAAAATGGAATTCGGTCTAATTTCTAACCTCGATATTCTAAGTGGATAATCATGATCTTATGCCCAAAACCTTGTGAACAAATGATATAACTCCCATCAGGAAAAAGATATCATTGTTTAGTAATATTCGGGCATGACAATAATGATTGTCATTGATTAAATTTTTCCAAGAGAACTATTTTAAGTTTTAAAAGTTTCTTTTGGGAAATTTGGAACTAAGTTTAAATTTTAATTTTGAAGTCAAACAGACCATTAGAGATGATAAACCGCCTCAAAAGGCAGAGATAAAATCTCTTAATGTGTTCAGATCCAGAATCATAAATTTCTCTTAGCTATCGTAGTCTGATTTAAAGGAGAACTACATATGACTCTGGGAGGGTCAAAATGGGATTCAATCCAAAATCGAACCATGATAATCAAGAGGAGATGATCATTACTTTCATATTCGAATTGATGTTAGCACATGATAAATCTCTTGGAAGAAAGAGAATGTCATCCATTATCCATCATATAATTATGATGATAACAATCATTATAAATTTGTTTCCCCAAAAGAAATATTAATTTTGAAAAATTGATGTGGTTTCCTATGAGCTCAAGCCCTCGTAGTTAATTACATCGTATAAGACCAGAGTCTCCTATGAATACTCTCAAATAAAATAACGACATAAAAGTTATTTTAAAGATTTTCTAGGAATGATATCAAGGTGGTGAATTTGGAATTTCAATTGGGATTGGATTGAATTTTGAACACTTATTTTTGGAGTAAACTGAGGAGAAGGTAGGATGCACTTAGAGATTTCAAAATAATTTAGAAGTACCCCAACCTAAGCTAAGTGTTGGGCTTTAATATTTTAGAGAAATATTTATGTTCGAACTAACATTTTATTAGAAAGTTGGGACTTATATTCTCGACCACCAGATCAGGAGAATGCCCAAGAAGTGAGGGTAGACAAACCTACCACGTGGGTATGATGTCCCCGGTCAAGATCCCATGGTTTTCCATTCTCCCAGGTTCGTTGATGTCCTTAGCCTACTTAGTCAAGTGCCGACCAAAGGATCCTTGTTAGCAACCATGGGTTACCTCATTCAAGGAGATCTTGTAGGCCAAGTGGCTGGGGACCTAATCCTATCCTGATAAAAAGGAAGTGTACATGTCTGTGGATAGTGAACCTATATTTATGTTATCTAACATAGGATGCCACCATAAGCATTAAAAATGATTATCACATGAATCCAAAATAGTAAGCAATAATCAATCAACACTCATTTTGCATTCAAATTAACATACCTCGGAAACAAAAAGAGACACCAGCCTAACCTAAAGCTAGAGTTCGTGTCCTAACAAACCAATCCAAGTGTGTATAGCAGGCCGTGTGGTTCAGATATGTCCAATATTAGGTAATTGGTTAAAGTTGTCTTATATTTTGATTGATTGAAAAACTTAAGGGATTTAAGTTTGAGTTTAAGTATTAGTAGTTTTAAAGTTAATTTTAGGGTGTGTTTTAAGTTTTAAATGATTACCACCTTTTATTTCTCACCAAGGTCATGAAGTTTATTTCAAATTCCTTGGGGCTAAGCTAATAGTCTTGTAAGCATGGGTTATCGAGTAGTAATAATTATTAGTCGAGTTAATTTAATTGGTTGATGGTTAATGTCACGACCCAACCCGACCGAGACGGATCCCGCTCGCATCGGATCGCGACCAACAGAACAAAAGCGACTGAACTGATTCCAGGATCTGGCTTTGGAATTTGTTTCAGAACTTTATTCCAATTTTACATAACCACAGACACACAGAGCTACTAAAAAAATCCGATGCAGCGGACCAGATCTTCTATCTTTTCATTCATCCAAAAGTGAATCATATACAAATACAGATCATGGCTTTCAGACATAAAGAAAGACAGAATAGAAAAGCCATGACTTTACAAAAATCAAAAGTACAAAAGATACCTATACGGAATCAGACTCTGAACTCCTATTCGTGGACTTCCTTCCCCTTCCCAGAACCTGAAAACCACGCAGAAAACAAGGATGAGCTACAACAGCTCAGCAAGACAACAAACCTCCAATCAAAATCCTCAGAGTCCACATCAAACACATCAGACAGAAATCTGAATAGAAATCAGAACATAATCTTATATCAAATCAGACCAGAATCAGAATCGTACAAATCAACCGAACAGAAATACATCACATCAGAACTGACAGAACGTACCAAAAATCAGAAATCAGATTAAATCATATCAGATCAGCATTCATATCAGAACAGACAGAATCGTACGGAAAATCAACATTGAATCGTATCAAAATCAAAATTAGATCAGAAACAGAACAGAAGCGCGTCAGAATTGTATCAGAATCATTATCATACATATCAGATCAAATTATATCATACGAAAATCGGAATCCATATCATTTCAGAACAAATCAAAAGATAGAACAGATTCCCTGACACTGACAGAATCTCAACGGATTCTGGCCCCTTATGCCTCCCTTCCCAGACACTGACATAATCTCTCGGATTCTGGACCCTTATGCCTCCCTTTGCGCTCATGGCACCAGAATAGATGTGCTTATAGCACCAGATATCATCGGATCCGGAAC